ACTGGCTTCAATAGGTCTGTGTTCATGTCTGAGGATATTGTTTGGGGGATGAGATGTAAGATTGACTCTCCATCCCAGCTGGTTTCTGATGAGAAAAGGTTGGAGTAAAAATCTGCAATGTGGTTCTCAATGGCTGACTGAGATGTTAAGCATCTTCCTTGAGAGGAAAGCAATCTGGTAATGGCATTGTATCTTCTTATTTGGAGTGTGAAGGTGTGGAAAAATCTGGTATTTGCATCTCCTTCCTTCAACCATTTCAGCCTAGATTTTTGCTGCCAGTAAAGTTCTTCTTGGAAGTGAGCTTTGTTAAGTGCCTTTCTTGTTGATTCCCACTCTTCCCAGTTGTCACCTGTTTTAATTTGATTGAGCTGCTCCATTTTCTGAGTGAGGTCTGCAATGAGTTGCTGATTTTGAGAATGAAATGAGGAGCTCCATATCAATAGAGCAATCCTTGTTTTCTTGACTTTTTCTTTCAACTGATAAAAAGGTGTCCCTGAGACTGGTGAGAGCCAAGCTTTTTTGACAGTTTCCTCAAATCCATCCATGCCAATCCATCTTTTATCAAAGTGAAATCTTTTTTGTCTCTTCTCTGCTGGTAAACCCAAATCCAGTAATAAAGCAGAATGGTCAGATGAACTTCTAAGTTTGTTGGTAATTTTGGCATTTGGATATTCTTGCAGCCATTCCAAGGATCCAAATCCTCTATCCAGCTGCTCTTCAACCAAGTCAGTGTCAGCTCTGTTATTACTCCAGGTATAAGGATATCCCTGCAGTCTTATTTCCTCCATTTCCATGCCTGTAATGAAAGAGATGAAGTGCTGATAGCTTGTGGGACTCCTCTGAATTCCACCTGATTTTTCAGCATCTGAGCAGATATCATTCCAATCCCCAATAGCAAACCATTTATTTCCCCAGGCATCCTTACAATTAAGCAGTTCCTCCATTTGAAAAGATCTAATAACTTTACAAGGATTCAAATAAACAAAAATGCCCCATTGGGGACTTTGAGAAGGAAGGGAAAATTGAACTGCAATAAAAAATTCTTTACATATAATTTGCTGGATTACAACATGAGAATCCCAAAACAAAGCTAAACCCCCACTGAGACCTATGGGGTTAACAACTTTTACCCTATCTGCATAGCCTAACTTATTACTAATAGATTTTACAAAAGATTTTTGCTTTTTGGTCTCTGAGATGAAAAAAAGATGAGGATGGTGAGCCTTCACTAGCTCTCGCATTTGGGAAATTGTAGAGGGTCCACCCAACCCTCTACAATTCCACACCACTGCTAGCATTGGTCAGGTTGGTGCCATTCCAGGCTGGCCACCTCCACCTTTGCCGATTGGTACTTGCTTCTCTTGATTGCAGCTTGGGAGCTCTGAATGTCTTGGTGAGCAATATGGCTTTGATCATCATTATCCTTCTTTCTTTTTGTCCCTTGCACAGTGTTTGGGTTTGTGATGGTGAGTGGTTCTCTTTGAAGTCTACCATCCTTGCTTCTATCTCTTCTCCAGGTTTTGAGCTTATTAGTAGGAACTTCAGTCAGAGAGTCATGGAGAGTTCTAAAAATAGATGTGGTAGTTGGTGCAGCAGGGTCTACTTCCATTTCTTTCAGAGGTTCAATTGCTGAAGAGTTGTCTTCCCCCAAAAATTCAGGTGAAGGGTTGATGTTGGCAGCTGGGAACAAGGATTCTTGCTCTCCTTCCTGCGCTGTGGAGTTGTTGAGCAAGGGTACATGAACAATCTGCTGGTTTGTTTCTGCTTGTTGTGAGGAATGATGTGTGGATGGACTGTGCATTTTCCCTGGAGGTGATTCTACATGTGCTTCCCCTTTTGAGGTTGAAGGATTTGGTTCATAACTTCTCTGAAATTCTGTGACTTTCAAGAAATCTCCATACTGGCCTTCCTTTAGGGAATTGGTATTAATGTCCTCAATTCTTTTGGAACAACTTCTGTCTAAGTGACCAATTTTTCCACAGTAATGACAGAGATTTAACAACTTTTCATACTTAAAACCAACTTGCACAACCTCATCTCCCAGCCTGATAGTTGCTACTCTTGGCAGAGGCTCATTCAGGTCCAATGTAACCAGCAATTTCAAAATTTTACCACCATGATTTCCAGAGTTAACTAATACCACATTTGTCACATTTTTGAAGGCTTTCCCTATTTTTAGCCCTACTTCCGAACTGAGCCAGTTAAGAGGGACATTCGTTACCTGAACCCAAATGTTGAGCTCCAGAAAATTCGGATGTTTGCTGTGCAATCCATTAGTCCATTCCTTCAGAATTAGATACTGATTCTCGAAGCTCCAGTTAATACCTTTTGCCACTTTCTCTCGATCGTCTTTATTCTGGAAAATGAACTGAAAATAGTTGGGACTAAGCTCCTTTATTTCCATTGACTGTGTGAGTTTCCATATGTTAGACATTGTCCGCTTAACTCCTATCCAGCTCGCAGCTCTATCTCCAACGATCTTCCCAAACAAGCTTCGCTGACATTCATCCGAGCTCAGTTTAATGTCTTCATTCGCTATATCTATGAATTTGGCTTCCCTTTCGGACAGAGAGAAGGTTTGGAAGTGCTTAGATAAATCGTTGTCTTGAGAATTGGTCATGTTTATCGGAAACCTAGTAGCAAAAACGGGCTGAAAAAAGAAGGAAGGTGAGAGTAGATAGTGATTGGTACTGAAAATGGGAAAGAGACACCAACTATGATCGGAACAAGGTCGGAAAAGGTCGGAAAAAGGATGGAAAAAGGACGCTCCCACCTGAGAGAATTTGTCGCCGCTCTCACCTGAGAGAATTTTTAGTGGACGCTCCCATCAGCTACTTCCAATATTATTGTGCATTCCGAACAAGATAATGTGCTTTTGGTATAATATTATTGTGCATTCCGACAAACAATTGTCCCAAATCAATTTAAAACTGAATAGAATTAATTACTATATTTTAATCGGTTAATCGAATAAACCAAAATAACCGATTAAAATATTAATTATATTATAAAATCATATTTATCATTTAACTATTTTTATTTACCATTTTATATTTGTTTGGTTGAAAAATAATATTTTTATATAAAATATAAAAAACAATATTTTTTATATAGTTTAGGCGGTTGATTATCTCAGTTATTTTAAAAAATAAAGCTAATATCGAACCACAATAATAAAAATTTAAATGTAAAAATAGATAATCAAATCGATATATAAAATTTGAATCCAAAAAATTAGTTACGTCGGTTTTGGTCGATATTGTGGTATCTGTCAGTCACTAATGTGCAATCCGTTTAACGCTAATGTGCAATCCCTTTAATGTTAATGTGCAATCGAAGTGCAATTATTTTTCAATGATTTTTTCAAACTTAAATTAAAATATAAATAATATTTATATATATATAATATAAAAATAATATTTTTATGTAATTTGGTTGGTTCTATTATTATTATTATTATTATTATTATTATTATTATTATTATTATTATTATTATTATTATTATTATAAATAAAGTTGAAATCGAACTTAAGTACCCAAAATTGTAATATAAGTAAAAGTGAACGTTTTTATTCTAATGTGCATTTATCGAACAAGATAATATGCTTTTGGTATAATATTATTGTGCATTCCGACAACCATTAATGTGGGTCATGTTTATTACTAAACTCAATTGGGATAATTAGGTTATTCGATTGGCTAATAAAATTAAAATAATTTATTATTTATATTATAAAAATATATTTATTATTTATTTAATATTTTATATTAATCTTGGTTAAAATAATATAATATTTATATGTGTAAAAATATTAAAAAACAATATATTTTGATATATTTTTTAGAATATTACATATTTAACCTATGGATTAAATTAATATATAATCAAAATTTTTATAATTGCAAATAAGTCCCTAAAAACAATATAATTCTCATAAATAAAAAATAATCAAATTTGCCAGAATCTCGCCGGCTAAGGCCCTAGTCGCCACAAATAAACCATCTTGTTGACAAACCCTTTTCTCTCTCCACAGAAAAACCCCTTTTCTCTCTCAGGCGCAACTCCTGCAGATCTGCTGCCTTCCCCGGCGGATTCGCCGGGCACCTTGACGGTGGACGTCCCAAGGCCATATGATTCGGCCCCTATTTATGTTGAAGCCCGGTTTCTCGGTCGATGGAGCTCGGTTGGCCGGGACCGACGGGATCTCGCGACTCCATGGCTGCCTTTTCGGTGAGTTGGTCGCCGGATTCCATGGCCGAGGCGAGGCGGGCTGCTGTGCTTTTACGGGGTTGGGTGGTGGTGTCGGCAGCCTTGTGTTGGTGTCGACATAGAGGTGGTTGGTTTTCCCTTAGGTCTTCTTCTCCTATGGTGCTTGGGAGGAGAGGATGGCCGGCGTGCCGAGCCCGAGCCGTGGTGTGGATTGGGCTTGGAGCGGCGGTGGTGTGTCTTGGGTTCTACCACCCTCCTCTGGCTGAGGGGTTAGGACGATTGCTGGGCGCGGGATTGGGGGTTAGGTTTCAGATCTGGTTAGGCCTATGCTGCAGTTTCTGGGTTTGCAATCAAGACCTTGGTCCCGTCCAATTTGGTGGTCGTCTGTTGGTGTCACCGTTATGGTCTGTTTGGTGCATTATCAAGCCGTGGGAAGGGCTCTAGTCTAGTATTTTGTTTTATTTGGTGTTTTGTGTTGCTTGATTTTTGTGTGTTTTGTGTTTATGTGGTGTTTGATGTGTTGTTTTGTGAATTGTGTTTTGTTATCTCCTTTTTGGAGGAGTGTGTATTCTCCTTTGGGGAGTTGTGTTATTCTCCTGTGGGGAGTTTTTATTTTTCTTATTCGTTTGTAGTGTGAGTTGTGGTATTTAGGCTACCTTGAGTAGTCCTCCTATTCCGGCTAGTGAGCCGGTTGTAATTACGTGTTTAGCTAATGAATTCTATCGTTTCGAAAAAAAAAAGGCCCTCGTCGCCGGCAACTTGTCGCCGTCCGACTCTGACGGTCCTCTACTCATCCCCGCATAGAACGCGCCTCTGTTTGTGGAGAAGTTAGGGGAGTCGGGTGCAGCGGAATATGAATCGCCGAGAGCCCGACGGCGGATGGCGGGTCAGCTTCATCTCGGATGACTTTTAGGGCGTGTACGGCGGAGGTGTGGTGCTGTCGAACCTTGTAGTCTGTACCGCCGTTGCTGTGGCCGAGGACCTGGATCCTCTCGCCTCTCAAGGTCGGCAGCGGAGATGAGGGTGGTGGAGGCCGAGGTCGAGGCGGATGCTGATGGGGCGGCGGTTGAGGACGACGGGCAATGGGCAGATCTACAGATCCGGTATGTGTGCGTGTATATGAGAGAGAGAGAGAGAGAGAGAAAGAGAGAGAGAGAGAGAGAGAGAGGGAGAGGGATTTGGACGGGGACAGATGGGAGACAGCTGGGCATGTTTAATTGGACTGTTGGTGATGTGGGACCCGTTGATGTGGGGGATGGTTGGTGCTGAAATGTCCAACCCCTCCGAGGGCCCTCCTTCGACCTGCTGGCACCCTTCACATCACTGATATCTTCTTCGACCTGAGCATCCTTCGACTTGATGACTGACTTAGCCCGGTTTGGTCATTTGTCCAGTCTACTCGACCAGGTGTTGTTATCCTATATCAAAAGTAACATTTAATTTAACATATCTTGCATAATAATTTAAAAATGTATGTGAAATAAAAAGCAAAATATAATGAATAAGATTATTTTGGTAGATTTCTCCAAACTAATTTGATGACATTTAAGTTAAACATTTAAATATAAAAAAAATGAATATAAATGACCATTTTAAAAATGAAATTATATGATCATAAACCAACGGGCAGTGGTATGCAACAAACTCGATCTGCCTTGCACGACCCTGATATACGTTTTGACCTGTTCGTAGATCTGCAAAATGGGCCAGGAGGGGTTCCCGGCATTAGCACTCTGGCGATTAAGTCAGTCCACAGTGATGAAGACGATGAATTAAACTCTCTAAGTATATAGGGTATGCAGAAAATGTATTGTAAACAGACATACCTCACACATTTATATTTGGGTGTTACCTTGTTACCCAAGACTGCCCATATGGACTGGCAAGGCTGCCCGAGCTGCCCGTTCTTACTGTTAAAACTGTCTGAATTGCCCAATTATGTTAGGCCAAGTGGTCCTATTCACTTGGCCCTATTCACATATGGTTCTTACCCTAATTATTATCCTTCTTCTCCATTAATTTTTCCTATAAGACTGTCCAATTGTGAGACTGACTCGATTCACCTCGAGGTAGAGGGTTTTCTGTGCTAAGCTCGTGCGCTCTGCTCTTCTGGTCGATCCATCGGTCAGTCATGCCCTCAAGTCGAGTTTTCACCAGGCCATCCGAGGGCCCTAGCTCAACATGTTGGTGGTTCTATTAGGAACGTCGACAATGTGCACATTCAAATCTATTGAATAATAAATCCTAACGCAGCGGAATCTATAGTTAGGATTAAGACTTACGGTTTAAAAATTTTTTTCGACTCAAAGACGTTTCTGATTTCTTTTGATGGAGATCGTCTGCCTACCACAACCTAATCGGTTGAAGGGTTTGGCCTTTGTCGACTCTAGTCGAGTGTTGAATCACGAACGGATCACCGGAACGAGCTTGTCGGACTCAGTGGATCGTCTCGGACTTTCGATATGTGAACCGGACTCCTCGGACTGCTCGGAAACCATCTTGGGCTCGAAATGGGTTAATTGGGTCTGGCTAAACCGGGTCGGGTCAGGTATGGACTGAACTAGGCTGGACTGGGTCTGGATGCGCTGGTGCTGGGTCACACGCGCACAGACACAAGGGCGCGCGAGTATGTCGGGCAGGGACGCAGTACTCAGGACTCCTACACCTGGAAGGACTAGGCGCCCGGGTGGTCTTGTTCAATACTTAACATACGTACTAGTGTAATTCTTCAGTCAAAGATCAACTGAATCAAGTATACACTACAGTCTTTTTCCAAGTGGGGTTTCACGGTCAGTCTAGATTGTGAACGAATAATTTAGTCTTACAAGGAACCGATAGGTGACCTTTTTGTTCGAGACACCACAAAACACACTATCTCAATGTAAGACAAGCAGTATGATTGCATAAATAAATAAACTGCAAGCATATGTACTTTGACCGAAAAATGATTGCCAGATCAAAATGGAATTGTTCATATCTGAAAGCCAAGCTTTTACAGCATATCTAACAATCTCCCACTTATGCTTAATAAGCTCATGGCTATCACTGACCACAATTTTCTTTCAATCTAATTCTCAAGGAACTGTTGTCATTTCTGCTATACATCCGACTCCCAATCCTTTAACATGGCCATCATCCGCTTTCGCGGGAAAGCCAATCCTAAAAGGATTCATTTGGTTGTCTACTGATGTAACTAGGCGACAAACATCCACCCTGTCGCAGTCCTTTGTAACGGGCGTACTTGCTCTATGTGCCACTTGCTTTATGAACTAGTGATTCCTCTATGTCTTAATTGCACCAACTGTCATCACAATCAATTGTGACCTGACTTGGTCTGTTAAGGTTTCACATTTTTAGTTCAATAGTGAATGCAGTCTTTACGTCGCTCGCCTTTTGGGAAGGGACGTACTGAGTTTCTTATGGTGGAATTTTCAACGTATTACCGCTTGATATTCCTCCATTCTGCTTGGCTCCACAAGTGAACACGGGTGGTTTTTACTTGTTTATTCATGTCCTGATTAGAAATCATAATCTTTTGTAATCCGTAGATTGCTTATGGTTCGTTTGGTAACCATACATATTATCATTAGCCCATTTCCGGCGCTTGATCATATGTTCTACCACGATCCATTGCTGAATCTAGGATTACTTCGATATTTTCTAACTTTGCCATTGGCAATAAATATCAGGCATCATTTATTGCATATACCAGGCTTCCTTTTGCCGAGGACATGGAACTGCCTTTGTGTCATGCAAATTTCGAATGAGCCTTACGATAGTATCTGGATATGAAATTGGGGATAATCGCAACATATCTTTCCTCAATCTCAAGAACATTTGTTGATCCCGAATCCTTTCATATCCAACCACTTGGATAACCATACCCTTGTGTTTTTCAACACTCTCACACTGTCTCCAGTGATCAAGATGTTGTCAACATATAGTACAAAAATACCACCATGCTTTCATTGCGCCACACACAATGCTTATTTTTTGAATAATCGAATTCGCAATTCGAGCTTATCAATCAACTGACCATCTTATAATAATCCATAAATGAACTGTTTCAGCCTAATGACTAAATTCTCTTAGCCCTTCTTTCAATGACTACTTCTGGGTGCTGCTCTATGGATATTCCCACAAGACTCCCGGTTAAGGAAAATGTCTTGACATCCACTTTGCCTAATCTCATAACTCATATGAGTGGCTTCAGCTTTAAATTTGGTTTCTTGTGAAAAGACTAACTCATAATAGATCCCATTCTTTCTGAGTCTTCTATATCACAACAAGCCTTACATTTGTACAGACTTAAACATGGCTACCGGTGAAAAAGCTTACTCATAATAGAACCCATTTTTTTCTGAGTATGATATTTCACAACAAGCCTTGCACTAAAGTCTTCACTTATAGATTTCATCCAATAGCCTGTATGCTACTTGATAATTCTATAAGAACCCAGATCTGATTAGAGTCCACGACTTCAAATCAGAAATCATTAAAACTTTGCTAAGTATCTGCAACCTTGTCTTGGATCTACTCATTGTATAACTAGAGATATATCTAGCTACCATGCCAACGGCGTAGCTAATATCCGGCCTCATACACAACATAGCATACTAAAGACTTCCTACTACCGAAGCATAAGGAACTATCTTCATGTTTTCTATCTCTTGAGACGTCTTACGAGACATCTCCTTGGATAGACCTATTCCATGTCTGAAAGGTAACATACCTTTCTTGGAATCCTGCATGTTGAATCTGGCCATGACAGTATCTTTGTATGTAGACTGGGATAAGCACAACATTCTCTTCTTACGGTCTCGAATGACCCTAATACCAAGAATGTGTCCTGCTTCACCTAAGTCTTTCATATCAAACTACTTAGACAACCACACCTTTACGTTTGATAACTCCTTCTTACCGTTTCCTATAAGAAGTATGTCATCTACATAAAGCACAAGAAACATCACCACGCTCTCACTGGTACACTCTCAGTGTGCCGTGTTACAGTATTAAGTGATGTATCTACTTGCGCACTCGGTGGGGAACTATCGACTTCACTCTTCAACTCCTCTAGGACTAGTCTATTCGCGGGCTTATGGTTCATAATATAGTCTTCTTCCAAGAATCAAACATTCGTACTAACGATCACCTTCTGATCATCAGGACTATAAAATAATCCACCTTTCGTTCCTTTGGAGGAGCCAACGAAAACTCGTGCTTCCGAACGTTTCTCCTGTTTGCGAAGTTCCTGCACTGACATGTGTGCAGGGCTACCCCATGCTAGAAACTGTGAGAAACTGGGCTTGCGCCCTTTTCACATCTCATAAGGAGTAGTATCAACTGACTTTGATGGAACCATGTTCAGAATGTACGATGTTGTTTCCAACACCATACCCCATAATGAATCTGGTAATCTTGAATAACTCATCATCGACCTAACCATTTCCATAAGAGTCCTATTTCTTCGCTCTGCAACCCCGTTCAGCTGGGGCGTGCTGGGTGCAATCAGTTGGGATTCTCCCAGCTTCTTATAAGTATGTCCTGAACTCTCCAAAGAGGTATTTGCCACCTCGATCAGATCAAAGCGACTTGATACTCTTACCATGAAGCTTCTTCACAACTTTCCGATACTTCTTGAATTTCTCAAAGAATTCGGACTTGAGGTGCAACAGGTAAATGTACCCAAATCTCGAGTAATCATCAATAAATGAGACAAAATACTCGTAACCACCACTTGCATGGATCGACATAGGACCACACAAATCTGAATGAATCAATCCTGGCACTTCTTAGCTCCTATACCCCTTTGTCGTAAACGTCCTCTTGGTCATCTTACCTTTTAGGCACGATTCGCAAGTTGGATAGTGGTCTTCTAGTGGACCGAGATGTCCGCTAGTCACTAACTTTTGAATCCTCCTAAGGTTGATGTGCCCAAGTCTAAGGTGCCAAAGATATTCTTGATTCATCTGCGAAGATTCCTTCCTCTTATTAGATTTAGTCATGACATTATTGAATACAGTTTGTTGCACTGCGGGATAGTTGGGTTTAAGAACATAAAAATTGCCAACTAATGAACTAGAAAAAATCAAACGATTTCCATAACGAATAATAACCAAGTCATCAAAGGTAAATGAAAAACCATCTAAAACAAGTTTAGAAACTGAAACTAGGTTCTTTCTAAAACTTGAAACATAAAGGCAATGTCTTAAAACCAAAATACTACTATCAAAAGATAAAGTAACGTCTCCCACTGCTACAGCCGCCACTTTCTTAGCATTGCCCATGTAGACGGTGACCTCTCCATCCTTAAGTCGTCTGGTTTCGTGGAACCCCTGCAAAGAATTGCAGACATGATCAGTGGCTCCAGTATCTACATACCAGGTTCTGGTAGATACAACGGCTAAACATGTTTCTACGACATTAATAAGAGAGTTACCTTTCTTGAGGAGAGAGAAGTCGACCTTCCAGTGTCCTGACTTGTTACACTTGTGGAATCTTTCTTTCGATTTCTTTGCCATAGCCTGAGGGGCCAGTCGCGGAGCAACTGGAGCATTCTGTGCCTTCGCTTTTCCTGCAGACTTCTTTCTCCTTCTACCCTTGTGATGCCTGGAAGGTCCAGCCTGCTCGGCGACTAGCACCTGAGGATTCTGAGTGAACACGGCTTCTGCCTACTGAAGCTCAGCCAACAGTTCTGGAAGAGCCATATGCATCTTGTGCATGTTG